AGCCTTTTTCTGAGTCTGTGTCTCCCTCTCTCTCTGACCCTCCCCTGCTCAAGCTGTCTCTCTCTCTCTCTCCTAGAAATAAAAAAAATTAAAAAAAAAATTAAAAAAAAAAGAATTCTAGACCTAAATATTATTTTCACAACCTCAGATAAGTGAGGGTCAGCAAGACAAACACATCTCACACACTGCGCCTACAGCACCTGAAAGTGGAATTCTAAAACCAGAATAAGAACTGCCTCTTCCCTTAACTCAGTGATCTTGAATTTGCTATCAAGGTCATCGACCACTGCAGCCTTCAGGTGTGCACTCGTAAAACATTCGCTCTAGGTTCCACTGGCCAATTATATGTTTTCTAGCCTCCAGCTCTGGATCTAGCATCTCCATTTCCATTCGGTGTTGTCTTTAAATGCCATAAATTTCAGTTAATCAAGTTACTTTATTTTCTTCGTGGTAAAGATTTGTTTCAATCTTTTTTTGATTGTAGTTTAAGTATTTGACAAAGCAATAACACCATGAATGAAGAGTTAGTGAAAGTGTTCATAATTGGCAAACATCACATCAAGTCAGACCCCACTGCCAAAGGCAAGTCACATAGCCAAGCCTGATATCAACCGAGCAAAAAAGTATAATGCTATTAAAACAAAGGCAGGAGACAATGTATGATAAAACATATATGACAAATTGTAACACTGATTATAAATTGTCCTTGCATTTCAGAGAATTAACTCCACCTGATCATAATGTATTATTTATACTTTTAATAGGCTGCTCAACACTGTGTGCTGATAATTAGGGTTCATCATTATAATTCAAAGTTTTCACATCTCTGGATTATGTAAAAGGACACTAAACTAAGTTTAGATTTGAAAATAGAGGATAGGGCCAAATTTTGCTGTCAACAAAGAGTAAGTATAAATCCTAGGATGCCAGAATAAAACTGGTTTACATGTACTAGTAAGTCCCCCAAAGCTCTCCACAGTGGCTGGGTTTAGGGGTGTCTGGGTGGCTCAGTTGGTTAAGCATCCAACTCATGGTTTCGGCTCAAGTCATGATCTCATGGTTGGGGAGTTCAAGCCCCGCATGGGGCTCTATGCTGACAGTGCAAAGCCTGCTGGGGATTCTCTCTTTCTGTACCTCGCTCTGCCCCTCCCTAGCTCACATATGTGTGCACATGCTCTTTCTCTCTCTCTCTCTCTCTCTCAAAATAAATAAATAAGCTTAAAAAATAAAGTGGCTTCAAATGTCCATCAACGGATGAATGGATAAAGAAGATGTGGTGTGTGTATGTGTGTGTGTGTGTATATATATAATGAAGTATTACTCAGCAATCAAAAAGAATGAAATCTTGCCATTTGTAACTACATGGATACAACTAGAGGGTATTATGCTAAGTGAAATTAGTCAAGAGAAATACAAATATTATAGTACTTCACTCATATGTGGAATTTAAGATACAAAACAGATGAACATAAGGGAAGAGAAGCAAAAATAATATAAAAACAGGAGGGGGACAAAACATAAGAGACTCTTAAATACCGAGAACAAACAGAGGGTTACTGGAGGGGTTGTGGGAGGGGAATGGGCTAAATGGGTAAGGGGCATTAAGGAATCTATTCCTGAAATCACTGTTGCACTATATGCTAACTAACTTGGATGTAAAATTAAAAAAAAAAAAATTTAAATAAAAAAATAACAAAAAATTTTTAAAAAGATTAAAGGTTTATCTAGAATTCATTTTGAATAGCTTTCATCTACCAGCTACTATTCTTCTAATTCAATTCAAGAAGATTCTAGTGACAGCAAAAACAGAAACTAAAAATAAATCTTACTTTAATTTTAATGCCTAGATTTCTGGGCATTGGGAAGGATAAACTAGAACAGAGTACAGAATAAAAGTTGTGGGCACCTGCCTGACTCAGTCAGGGGTGCATGTGATTCTTGATCATAAGGTCATGAGTTCGAGCCCCATGTGGGGTGTACAGATGATTTAAATAAAACTTCTTTTTTTTCAAAGTCTATTTATTTTGGGGGAGAGAGAGAGGAGAGAGAGAGAGAGAGGAGAGACAGAGAGAGAGCTAGCATATGCAATGGGGGAGGGACAAAAAAAGAGGGAGAGTGTATCAGCAGCAGGCCCTGCGCCATCAGTGCCGAGCCCAATACAGGGCTCAATGTCACAAACCACGAGATCATGACCTGAGCTAAACGCAAGAGTTAAACACTTCACTGACTAAGCCACCCAAGTGCCCCTTAAATAAATAAAACTTTAAAAATAGAGAAACAAAGTTCTAAAGCTGGCTTTACCAAATTTTGTTAGAACCAGAAGGCATTATATGTGTATCAAATGAGGGAAGAAATAGTAACAGATCTAGCAATTCAGTGATTATTGATCACTGAAGATTATTGCTCACAAAGAGCAAAGAATACAACTTAGCAATGGCCACTTCTCACAATACAAAGAAATCTCTATTTCTTTCCCCAATTACACCAGTCCCCCTTATCTGTGGGAGACACATTCCAAGACCCACAGTGGATGCCTGAAACCACAGCAAGTACCAAACCCAGCATATACTATGTGTTTTTCCTATACGTACATACCTATAATAAAATGTAATGTCTGAATTAGGCACAGTAAGATATTAATAACAATGATAAAATAGAACAATTATAACACTATACCATAATAAAAGTTTTGTGACTGTGATCTCTCTCTCACAATATCTTATGCTGTACTCGTCTTTTTTTGTGTGATGCTGTGAGATGATAAAATGCCTACATGATGAGATGATACATGGTGAATGGTGTCAGCCTCATGACGTAGCATCATGCCACCAGTGACCTGACAATATGTCAGAAGGAGGGTCATCTGCTTCCAAATGGGGACTGAACATGGGTAACTGAAACTATGGAAAGGGAAACTACAGATAAGGAGAGACTAGTGTATTTACAGACCATAAGGAGAGAAGGTACCTGAAACTTAATATTGGCATATTTTGACCTCTTTTCCTTCACAACCCCTCAAAAAACAGGAAGCTATGGATTATTCATCCCTAACACCATTTATTTTTTTCATTGCTTGCAACACTGCAATTCTATTATTTGAAAGATGGCCGGTGAATGATATGAAACCCTACAATCAACCAAGCCTTTATATCAAACTAAGCACTGCACCAGAATTTCATTCAATAAATGGCTTGTGTGTTTGCTATGTGCCCGGCAACAGAGGTAAGAAAGACTCATTCCCTGCCCTTGACGAATTTCTAATCAAAGAGAAATAACATTAAGAAGAAAAATAAAACACCTCTCATACAAATTCTATCCAGAGATAAGAACACTAAAACTATAGGAAAGTGTTTTGTAAATTTTTTCATGTTTATGTGTGTGTGCGCATATATCCACTTATTTTAAAATAGAAAAACTTAGTGTTTTGTAAGTCTTTTCTCTACATCATTTTATGTCAATTAATAAACTTTTAAAAAAATCACCATTTTTAATAAGTTGCAGAGTATTCCATTGTACAAGTGTGCCAAAATTTACCTAAACAATACTCTGGTGTTAAATGCTCATGCTTAATTTCTTTTAACCCAGGAAGGGGGACTGGGAGTATGCAAATCAGAGAAAAAAATTACAGCGAGCATTATTTTTTTTTTTTCAGCGAGCATTATTAACAGTTGTAAATTTAGCCAAGATAGTCTATAAACTGACTATGGGTAAGCCATCTCCGAAAGATAAGAGTTTTTAGTAGCATCTTATAGAGGTATTCTAGTTAATTAATCACAGAAAACGAATGAGTCCATGTCCCACTCCAGAAAGAACTTGAGAAGTCTTACCTATTGCTCCTATGAGTCCTAGACATAACAATTAACTAACGTGTCACTAAGCACATACACACACACCCCTCCATCACTAACTTCCAAAAAACAGAGCTTAACGTCTTGATATCCTTCCCTCTACCCCCTCACGCTCCTTGCTACTGTGACTGTCCTGTTCCAGGTCTTAACATTACTTTTAACTCGAGGGTCTGCAATGACTCCCTCTGACTTCAGTCTCCGCCCATTCCAAATAATCCTACTCAATATCTCTATATAATACTTGCTGAAGCAAAACATAACCTCCTGGCTTGAAAAACTCCTAACCCCAATTATAAGAAAATAAATATTGCCTCTTTATTATTTAATAGTTTTGGTATTCACTTTGGATGCGATGGCCACTAATTTACCTTCTAATCTTATCATCTACTACTTTCTCTCAAATACCCTCCAGTCAAATCCTAATCTAGTGCTCAGATCTGTGAAAAGCCTCCAATTTCCTACCCTATTACATATGCTGTTGTCTCATCTAAAATGCACAGGTGAGGGGGCACCTGGGTGGCTCAGTGGGCTAAGTATCTCGATTTCAGCTCAGGTCATGAATTCATGATTATGAGATCGAGGCCCATATACGGCTCTGCACTGGGCATGGAGCCTGCTTAAGATTCTCTCTCTCTGCCCCTCCCCAGCTTGTTCTCTTCTGACTCTCTCAAAAGAAGTAGTAATAATAAAATGCACAATGTCAAAGAACATTTATAGATACGGAATCACAGCTCAGAAAGGGATCTTGAAGATAAGGTGAAAATCTACTCTATTCACCTTAATTTGCAAATCAGTAACTTCTATCACTTCCCCAAGAACCCACAATACCCCCATTCTAGCACCCTTCCCATTACACAGTGGTTCTCAAACTCTAGTATGCCCAACACCTACTGAAAAGTTACTGAAAAGACAGATTTCCTACCCTCGTCTGCAAAGAGCATGCTCTAAGAAATACATGGGCTAGGACTTTTTTTTTTTTTTTAAAGAAGAACTTCAGGTTATTTTGAAGCACTCAAAACTTCAGACCATAAAAGAAAACTACAAGAAAAAGAAAATGTTGTATGAATATATAGCCTTTTAGCACTTAGCATGTCATCCGAAATTTTCCATTTCTGCTCCCATACTGGAACTTCCAAAGAAACAGCTACTCACTGCTACTTGTGCAGAATCCATAAATCTCAGTCCAAAATAGTCACTTTCAATAAGGTCCAAGTGGTACATTATCTGATCAAAGAGCTCTTGTCCTTTGGCTTTTTTCTGAAATGGTAAGAAAATAAATTAATCAATAAATGACTCACAAGATCAACAAGCATGAACTGGAGATCTATTTACAGAAACATTACTTGTGGGGCACCTGGGTGGTTTAGTCAGTCAAGCATCTGACTCTTGATTTTAGCTCAGGTCAAGAGCCCAAGGTTTGTGAGTCTGAAGCCCCCATTGGGCTCTGTGCTGACAGTGAGGAAACGGCTTGAAATTCTCTCTCTCTTTCTCTGTTCCCTCCTCCCTCTGGTTTTCTCTTCCTCAAAATAAATAAACTAAAAAAAAATTTGGGAGGCGCCTGAGTGGTTCAGTTGGTTAAGCGTTCGACATCAGCACAGGACACAATCCCACAGTTCGTGAGTTTGAGCCTTGCATCCGGACGGCTCTGTGCTGACAGCTTGGAGCCTGGAGCCTGGAGCCTGCTTCAGATTCTGTGCCTCCTTCTCTATGCACCTCCCCTGCTTGCACTCAGTATCTCAAAATTGAATAAACATTTAAAAAAATTTTTAAGATTTAACAAATTAAACCTTAAAAAATAAAATAAAATAAGTTATTTGCAATACTAAAAACACTACCATGTATCAAGTAATGGGTAAGATACTATAATTTCCCAATCAACTACTTAAAGTCAAGAGAGAATTTATGATCTACATGCACTTTCATGGAAAGCGTTATCTCCTATCAACTAACAAATAATCTTGTACTAAACATTGTGTGTAAGGAGAAACTCTTACTTTGTCTTGTCAATTTTTAGAGTCCCTACTTCAAAGGAGCTCTAGAACGTAACTGGAAAGAGAAAATACAGAGAAAACCTCAAACACTGAAGTACCAATCATGTGGAACTATATACTTGCCAACAGATTTTAGAGAAGGGATAGTCACAGGGACTAGAATCATCAGTAAAGACTTGGAGATCAGCCTTAAACTGGAAGACAATGTAGGTAGGAAAGGGCTAAAACAAAACTGGAGCGTGGGAAGAAATACAGGACAATGAGATGATACTGCCATCAATGCGGAAGACACCAAATGGCAGGGGAAGGTCAGTAATAAGCACAGACACTTGTGTGGAAAAAACAGTTCTCAAAGTGTGGTCTCCGGACCCAAGAGCTCCCCCAGGTACTTCCAAAAGATCCACAAGGTCCCAGGACTCTCCCCGGGTAACTCATCACAACAACACACTGCAACAGAGTAAATGCAGAAGCAGAAACCACACCCTAAGCACATTCTTCATAATGTTATTAATTTTTGATAAGCCTTTAAACTTCTCTACGTCTGATAGTCTTAAATTCAATATAATGTGTCAAAGTGTGGTTTTTTTTTTCCCCTCAACTCCATTTGGTATTCTACTGGGCCTTTCAAATCTGAGACCTTTCATCTCCACTTCCCTAAGGTTACACACCACACCCAGATTTTACCTGGAATGTCACCTCTCAGATCAACAGACACCCCCAACTTCCGATCACAGCCTCAGCTCTAGTTTGTTCACAAAATTGCTCTCAATACCTAGGTTCTCCAACACATGGAAACTTCCAGCACACTGGTCCCACTTAACAAGCATCAGCCCCCATTTCTCCTTTTTTTTTTTAATCTAAAGTTTGCCATTTTAACATATACAATATACAGTGTCATTAAATATATTCCCAATGTATACAACTGTCACCACTCTTCGTTTCCAGAACTTTTCATAATACCAATCAGAAACTGGGTAGCCATTAAACAACCATTTTTCACATTCCCTCCCTTCAACCCCTAGTAACCTCTTTCCCACTTTCTGTGGCTCATGAATTTGCCTTGTCTACATACATCACCTAAGTAGAATCATACAATATATGTCTTTTTGTGTCTGGCTTATCTCACGTAGCATAACGTTTTCAAGGTTCACCCATGTTTAGCAGGTTTCAAAATTTCATTCCTTTTTAAAACTGGGTAACATCCCACTGAATGTATGTACCATATCGCTTCTCCGTTCATCTGCTGGTAAACATCTGGATTGTTCCCACCTTCTGGCTATCATGAATATGGCTGCAAACCCTGGTATACAAGGATCCGTGGGAGTCCCTGCTTTCAGCTCTTTTGGGTATGTACTAGGGAGTGGAACATGATAACTCTATGTTTAACTTTTGGGGAACTGTCCAATTGTTTTCCATAGTAGCTGTACCATTTTGCATTCCCACCAGCAATTCATAAGATTCTAATTTCTCCACATCTTCACCAACGTTTGTTATTTTCTGGGGTTGTTCTGCTTGGTTTTGTTTGATATAGCCATCCGGATGGATGTGAAAGGATGCGATTTTGACCTGCATTTCTTTAACGCCTACTGAGGTTGAGCACACTTTCAGGTGCTTATTGGCCATCTGCATATTTTCTTAGAGAAATGTCTATTCAAGTCCTTTGCACATCTTGAGAAAGAACAAGGCTGGAGATGTCGCAATCCCAGATTCAAAACTATACTACAAAGCTATTTTATTATGCTAATATTATACTCTTTTATTATTCAAAGCTATATTAATAAAAGCAGAATGGTGCTGGCACAAAAACAGGCACATAGATCAATGGAAAAGGATAGAGAAACCCAGAAATAAATCCACGCTTTTATGGGCAATTAATCTACAACAAAGGAGGCAAAAACATATACTAGGGGAAAGAGCATCTCTTCAATAAATGGCAGGGAAAACTGGACAGCCACATGCAAAAGAATGAATCTAGACCACTATCTTACACCATATACAAAAATTAACTCAACATGTATTAAAGACCTAACTGTGAGACCAGAAACCATAAGCCTTCCAAAAAAAAAAAAATATATATATATATATATATATATTAATATAGGCAGTAATCTCTCAGACACTGACCTTAGCAGTATTTTTCTAGATTAACTATCCTCACACAAGAGAAACAAAACAAAAAAATAAATATCAAACAAAAACCTTTGCACAACGCAGGAAACCATCAACAAAATAAAAAGGAAAACTAATGACTAGAAGATATTTGCAAAGGATCTATCCAACAAGAGGTTAACGCCTAAAACATATAAAGAACTCATAAAACTAAACACCCAAAAACCAAATAATTCAATTAAAAAATGGAAAGAGGCCATATAAAAACATTTTTCCAACAAAGACATCCAGATGGCCAACAGACACATGGAAAGATGCTCAGCCTCACTCATCCTTAGGGAAATGCACATCAAAACCACAGGTGAACTATCACCTCACATCAATCAGAATGTCTAGTATCAAAAAGACAGGAAGTAAGCCTTGTCGAAGACGTGCAGGAAAGGGCACCCTCATGCACTGCTAGTGGGAATATAAACTGGTACAGCCACTAGGGAAAACAGGAGGAAGGCTCCTCAAAGAATTAAAAACAGAAATACCATATGATCCAGTAATTCCACTGATGAGTCCTTACACAAACAAAAACACGAATTCAAAAAGATACATGCACCCCTATGTTTACTGTGGCATTATTTACAATGGCCAAGATGTGGAAGCAACCTAAAGGTCCTCCAATAGATGAATCAATAAAGAAGATGTGGTGTATATACACAATGGAATAGTACTCAGCTGTAAAGCATGAAGTCTGGCTATCTTAACAACATGGATCCATGTATTATACTAAGTGAAATAAGTCAGACACAGAAAAACAAATACCATTTAATTTCACTTATATGCAGAACCTAAAAAACAAATGAACAAAACACACACACAAAAACAGATTCATAAATACAGAGAATAAGATAATGATTGCCTAAGGGAAGGTGGGTGGGTGGGCTGGGTCAAATAGGTGAACGGGACCAAGATACACAAACTTCCAGTTATAAAATAAATAATCACAGTGATGAAAAGTATAGTACTGGGAAAATAGTAATAGTATAATAACTTTGGTGACAGATGGTAATTACACTTATGTAAGCATTTCATAATGTGCACACAATTGCCTAATCACTGTTATACACTTGATACTAATAATATAATATTGGATTGTCAACTACAATTAAAATTTTTAAAAATTTTTAATTTTTTTTTAGTATTTATTTTTTGAGAGAGAGAGAAAGACAGCATGAGCAGGGAAAAGAGAAAGGGAGTCACAGAATCCGAAGCAGGCTCCAGGCTCCATGCTATCTGCAAAGAGCCCAACATGGGGCTCAAACTCACAAACCGTGAGATCATGACCTGAACCAAAGTCGGACGCTTAACCATATGAGCCACCCAGGTGCCCCCCTAATTTTTTTCGTTTTAAAAGCCAGATAAGAACACAACCAAAAAACACGTGGCTTTTTTTGTTTTGTTTTTTAATTTAAAGAAATAGGGGCGCTTAAGGTGGCTCAGTCAGTTAAGTGTCCAACTTTTGATTTCAGCTCAGGTCATGATCTCATGGTTTAGTTTCATGCAGGCTGTGCACTGACAGCATAGAGCCTGCTTGGGATTCTCTCTCCACCTCTGCCCTGCTCACACACTGTCTCTCAGAATAATAAACCTGAACAAATTTTAAGAAAAATAAATAAAATTAGGGGCGCCTGGGTGGCTCAGTCGGTTAAGGTGTCCGACTTCAGCTCAGGTCATGATCTCACCGTTCGTGGGTTCGAGCCCCGTGTCAGGCTCTGTGCGGATAGCTAGCTCAGAGTCTGGAGGCTGCTTTGAATTCTGTATCTCCCTCTCTCTCTGACCCTCCCCTGTTCATGCTGCCTCTCTCTCTCTCAGAAATAAATATAACATTATGAAAAAAATGTTTTTAAAGAAAAATAAAAAGAAATAAGTGAGCAAAGCGTTTGAATAGACATTTCTCCAAAGACAATATACAAATGGCCAGTAAGCATATAAAAAGATGCTTATCAATAATCATTAGAATCAGGGGCACCTGGGTGCCTCCGTTAGTGAAGCATCTGACTTCGGTTTAGGTTGTGATCTCAGTTTGTGGGTTTCTGTGCTGACAGCTCAGAGTCTGGAGCCTGCTTGGGATTCTGTATCTCCCTCTCTCTCTGCCTCTCCCGTGTG